GGTAGAAGAATAGTTCGAAAAAAAAAAAAAAAAACGAGTACAATATAAACCGAGCAAAAAGTAGACACTGGAGATAAAGAGCCAAGTCAGCTGTGACTGTATATATTAAAGGAAAAAGAAAAGTAAAAATAAAAATGAAATGATAAATTTAAAAGTGAAGAGGCGGTGGGTCACCTATAAAGATCCCAGTTAAGTTGCGGAAATTTGTCTATGGAAAAAGTTCGGGTAACCGAATATAGACCATCTGGTATAAATTTTCTCGCCGGAAAACTTCTTAATCCGATAAGTCTTTAACAGAAACAATTCTCCGGGGGATACAGTCCGGTCGGGTTACACGGCATTATAATTTTCCTCGCCCACCGCACAAGTCTTTATAATTTAACGTTCTCCTCCAGCATTTACATTTTTTATTCCTTTTCTCTTATTTACATTTTTTTTATTCGCGTCTCCGGTTTAAATTAATCATCCTCTTTCCTCAGCTACTGTTACTCTTATTATATTTTTGTTCCAAGCTCACGAAATTATTAGCGAGCTTTACGTGGTGTTACTTTGAAAAATTACTCCAAATAAACAACTTTTCCCTAAAAAATAATTATATTCATATTTTTTTCTTAATTTAAGCCTTTTAAATTTCTGTAGAAATTAAAAATAATATTTCAATCATATTTATATTAAAAAAAAATAAAAAATTAACTAAATAAACTTTGTACAAAATATTTAGAGCGTATATGAAGCACTAAAAGTTAAAAAAAAAAATTTTTTTGCCAGCCCATCTTACCCCACAAATGAATTTTAGCGCTTTGACCCCCTAAGAGTGTCAGAATATCACTTCTAAACAATATCTAAAAGTTTCTGTACAAATTTTCTTCATAGTTTCTCCAAAAATTGAATCCGTACATCCGTACAAAGTTCTGTACGGATGAAAAAAAAGTCTGTAACTCCGAAATTTCTCAACCGATTTCCAAAATTTTTTTTTCATCCTCTTCAGAACACTTTTCCCTGCAGCTACATGAAATATCTTACCCAAATATTTATCCAGTTATCCGAATATTTGTTCATATTTTTTCTTAATTTAAACCTTTTAAATTTCTATAGAAATTAAAAAATAATATTTCAATCATATTTCTATTTAAAAAAATACAAAATTAACTGAATAAAATTTGTACAAAATATTTAGAGCTTATATGAAACACTAAAAGTTAAAAAAAAATTTTTTTTGCTGGCCCATCTTACTCCACTGACGTATTTTGACGATTTGACCATTTATTACCATCAAGGAAACATCAATAAATAATATTTCTAAATTTTTACGGCGAAATTTTGATTATTTTCCGTTGTTGGTTACTAAAAAAAATTTTTTTTGCTGGTCCATCTTACCCCACAACTGAATTTTAGCACTTTTACCCCCTATGATTGTCAAAATATCACTTCTAAACTATATCTAAAAGTTTCTGTGCAAATTTTCTTCATAGTTTCTCCAAAAATTGAATCCGTACATCCGTACAAAGTTCTGTACGGATGAAAAAAAAGTATGCAACTCCGAAGTTTCTCAACCGATTTCCAAAATTTTTTTTTCATCCTCTTCAGAACACTTTTCCCTACAGCCCTATGAAATATTATCACCCAAATATTTACCCAGATTAAAAAAAAAAATCAGAACAAAATTTTTAATTGTTCATAAAAATACTTTTTTATTTTTTACATCCCCGGAAATATAAAAAAACACTTAATTAAAAGCGAACCAGAACAAAGTGTCAAGCTTCCTCCCTAGAAAATCAATAGCTCTAAAAAGCGTGCCGTAAAATTATCATAAAGAGCAACATAAATATAAAACATCCAAGTCCTCGCAATAAATTCTCCGATAAGAATAAGAGTATGCAAAATCAAAATATTACCAGAGGCGTACATAAGTTAAAACAGTAAAAAGAAGTTATAAATTCATGCATCAGACAACAAAGCCTGCAGTAGGAAAGCCGTGCGAGCTCCAGCTTTGCTCTGAGTCCATCCTCGACAGGACAAAAGGAATTTAGCGTTTTCTTTGGCAGATCTATCTCTCGCTGGAGATCGGCTTTCTCTGTTTCCTGATAAATGCACAAACAAATCCTAGATAACGAGCCCGCTGCTAGATCTGCTCTCCTATTATCTATTTCGCTGTATAGGATACTTGATTTAATGCTTCGCTATGTACAAATAAACGCATGTGTTCTCCACAGAACCAAAAGATTCGGTAACATCTTTCTGCATCAATCTATTGTTTCTTTCCTCGTTAATGCCGCCAATTATTTTGTCTATCATTATGTCTCTGATAGTTTCGACATAATTACTGATATTGATATTGATATGAACGCACTGGCTGTAATTTATTGTCCAATGTGATATTATGTCGAAGAAACCTTCCACTTATCAGAATTATCATTAAAATTACAAGTTAATGCGAAGAGAAAACGATTAGGGCGTAATCGCGAAAGCTGATGTTTTAAAATAATAAAAATAATTGCCGTGCAAAGGTACGAATATAATATATAAAAGGTATGTGCTACTAATACACACGAACCTGGACAGAGTCCTCAGTCACGGCTGGGCTGACACCGCGAGGTCGCTTTCCTGGCGCGTGCTCGCCCGTAACACGCACTATTCCAAGGCTTCATATAAATTTTACTACGGGTTATCTTTATACTCGTTTTTATGGCGTTCATGCATCACGGAATGCCTGACAGACTTTTTTTTAATTGTTTTTCTCAGCAATATAGGACTGTGCGGGTCACCTCAGGTGACTTTTTGAAATTTTACAAGTAGAGCGTAGAGAAAATTCTTCAGCTATAGGAAAAATAACTGGAAGATTTTTTTGGAGGTTTAATTTTTTTTAAACAGAAAAAAACATTAATTTGAGGCAAGAGAAAAATTCTTGAATTAAGAAAAAAATTTTAAAGAATTTCATTGTCTTGAATCAAGTGAAAATTTTCTTAGTTCAAGAATTTTTTTACTCAAATCAAGAAAGTTCTTTAAAATTATTTACTCGACTCAAGTTAATTGTTTTTTTGTATGAATTAAATGGGGAATTATTGTATTCAATAGTTCGAGCCACTAATTTTTATTTTGAAGGACAAAAAGCTCACTGATAAAAAAGTTGACTTGATAAAAAAAAAATTTTTTTTTTTAACCATTAAAATTAATTAAAAAAAATTTTTTTACTCAAATCAAGAAAATTCTTTAAAATTATTTACTTGATTCAAGTTAAATTTTTTTTTTTTATGAATGAAACCAGGAATTATTTTATTCAATAATTTTATCCATTAATTTTTATTTTGAAGGACTAAGAGCTCACCGTTGATAAAAAAAATGACTTGATCAAAAAGAAAAGAAATTTTGGAACCATTAAAATTAATTTTTAAAAATTTTATTTTCTTGAATCAAGCAGAAAAATTATCGAATTAAAAAATTGTTTTTGTTAAAAATAACGCTTGATTATTACACTGATAGAAGGATTTGTTTATAGTTAAAAATATTTGTTATTATTTAACAAATTATTTATTAAAAACCACTTTTTAGTCCTTAGCAAATATTTCTTAGTATTTAAAAAGATTTATTAATATTTAATAAATTAATATCAGATTTATTAAATACAAACAAATCATTTTAAATACTAAGAAATATTTTTTAATACAAATAAATCCTTCTATCAGTGTAAAATTCTCTAATTTTGAGACTGAATAAAATTAAAATTATTTTTTCATCAATAAAAAATTTCTTATTTAAATATTTTATATAAAAAAAATTTTTCTCGATTCTCAAAATAATTTCTACAATAAACTATGTATCATTGAAATTAGCAGACACTAGAGAATTTTTGACTTTCTTCTTAATAATAAATTATTTTTACAAAATTGAACTTACAATTTTTTAGAGCCTCTAAAGATGGAATTTTTTAAATAAATTTTTATTGCTATAATTAATTAGTTAAAATAATTTATAAAAATTATCAGATGTCTCTCAATTTCACTATCATTAAACTATCCCTTGTAGTGAGTAATTAAAGCCCTTAAATTTAAAATAAAGTCACCTAAAAGCCGGCAAAAAAATTCCAACAAAAGTACAAATGAAAAACTTTAAAAATTCACTCACCATTTTTCAATTTTCCTTTTAGATCACTTCTCCACTCTTTATAAGAGTAAATTGATTCCAGTGATTATTTTCCCTCGTGACTTTCTTCCAGAACTCATCTCTTTCCCCAAAGCCCGGGATTAAATAACCTGCAACATATTTGATCACGTATTTTCCTTGTATCTTCCAAGACATGTGATATTTTTCCTCTGCAGCGTGCAGGTGAACAATACGCGCAATTAATTTCCAGCTGAAACAAATCTTCCCCTTTCCTGTTTCCAAAAGACAGAAAGACAGACATTAAAAAAAAATAATTTCAAGGTTTTATTAAATAGCACATGTCTTATCACATATTGCTAAGTAACTGCCATTTAATGGATGATTTACCGAGACGAGAAAGTTCCTTCTGGCTTGTATTGTGGCGTACTAGTCCGCTTTCCGAATAATCATTTCCATATAACAGAGGAAAACAATTTTCGCTATGCTTTGGCGTATTTAGCGATCGTTCTGGGACGGTATCGTCAGGAATCTCGGGAATTTCTGCTGGTGGATCAACTTGATATTTCTGGGACACTTGAGTTACGTCAGAATTTCGGGCACCCGGTACTTCAAAGTGTGTTCGCAGTGTACATAATAATAATGAGCGCATTCTGCTCTCGCGTAGCATAAACTATAACTATAATAATAAACATGGATCAGATCCGAGTCAAAAAGTTTAAATGCTCAGAATAGAGTCGAGAGTATAACGTTTAATCCCAAGTATTTCGGGTAAACGGTTCCAAATTCGTCGGATTAAGTGCTCGATAAATAAGCCCCGATAATTTATAAATTCAGTCTAATGTTACCTTCTGCGAGCAAGATTCTGCAGTATTCTATCTTTATGATTTACTTCGCGAATAATGGTGCTCGTCGGTACTCTGGGAGCGATTATGGAAGAATTTGATAGCGATGTTATGGATACAGACTCCCTAGAAAACGAGGTGAACTTTTTTAAACTGGGGACGAAAAAATTTATTTTAAGTCTATTATTTTTTTTTTTTTTTTTTGTTAATAGGCGACTCAATTAACCGGAGGACCCAAAAAGCTGGATCTCTGCAGAACTGGGCTGGTAAAGATTCCCCACAGCGTATTAGCATTCAATGCGGTTGAGGAAATTTTACTGGGTCATAATCAATTGGCTAATCCCGACAATAATCTTACCCTCTTAAAAAGGTATTTACTTTAATTTATGCTCTAAAGAATTATTTTTGGATTATCTTTTCTTGGATAGAAAGTTTAGCTGTGGAAAGATATTGTAGCTATTCAGTTTTATTTTACGGTAGCTTTGAAATTTTTAATAAAGTAAAAGCTCTGTCTTTTTTTTTTTTTTTTGTGATTAATTCTATTTTTTTAAAATACGGTAACTAAAAAATTATCGTTAATTTAGAATTGTTTAATTTTTTAAAACTAAATAAACAATCTAATCGACGGTCTAATTAGCAATTTGTCTAACTCCTTATTTTTTAAAGGGTGATTTTTTAACATTTTAATGTTAGTAATAAATCCAATTATAAATTATTTGAATGATTCAAACCTAAATATTATATCTCTATTAGACATTAATGATATTAAATGGCTTTTTAAAGTAATAATAAATTTTGAACTGATTTTTTTTTGTACAAATAGAAGATTTTCTAATATGGAGTTAGACAATTTGCTAATTAGAACGTCGTAATGTTTTTTTACAAATTTTTTAATTAATATTTGTTCAGTGTTTTTTTGTCAACTTAATTTGTAAACTTTGTTCTTGCAAAAAATTTTTAAAAAATTCAAAAAAATGTCAGTTACTGTGTTTTAAAATGTAATATTATTTCTTCTTTAAAAAAAAATTTTTTTTTAATAAAAACTGAAAATTAATACTTTAAACTGAAAATTAATACTTTTAAAAATCTTTATTGTTTAAATTATTCTAACTTTTATCAATTTCAAGAAAAAAAATATTTGATTGTTAAAAAAAATTTTTTTTTTAATTAAAATAATGTTAATTTTCTTTTTAATATTTTTTTTCATGATAAAATATCAAATTAATTAAAAAAAAAAAAAACATAATTCTTCAAAAAAAAATTTTTATCATAGAAATTTTACTTAAAATTACAAACTAATGAATTTTAAATTTAATTTATATAAAATTAAATTTTACAAACTCATGTGTCTCAAAAGTGATATATCAAAAGGTTATCCAGTTAACTTCAAAAATATCTTCCCCAATTAAAGTTTACTTCACCCAATCATTGTATAAATAATCGACAAAATTAATCTTCTCATTCGAGAATAATTTAAATCAGTCCAAAAGTATAATCAAGCTTCAAGTCTTCAACAATTCCATAATTAACTTTTCAACCTTCGAACAATCTCATAAAATATCAATCCAATGTAAATTATTTAAGTATAAAATTATAAAAATATAAAATATTGACCTTTTGCTCTCACAAATAAGATTAATAAAATAAAAAAATTGTAAAAAAGATTCCCGAGTCTTCGAGTAGTGCAACTGGAGTACAACCAACTGAGAAACATCCCGAGGGAGTTGCTCCAACTTGAAGGTCTGACCTCACTAGACCTATCCGACAATAAGATCGAGCAAGTACCCGCCGCGATCCACCGACTAGTCAAGTAAGTGCACACATTCTCCATACATAAATAACATAACCTGAATAGAGTCAAAACAAATAGCATCTACATCAATCTGGACACATCGCCTAGAGCAATACAAACTGGATCGACTCATAAATATGCACAATTCACGGTATACAATATACAATCAGAAAGCGGTTTGGTATTAAAAGTTGGGACACTCAATTTTCGTAGATCCAAAGTTTGTTTGTCCTCCAAAGTTGTTTGTTTTATTCCCCGGTACGAGGAACGACAGATGAAATAATGGAACAATTCTATACAACCCTGTCGACGTCTCTTTCCATGCCGTTTTCCGTTCGATAATATAATTCACATTTGCACATATGATAAGTAATTGAAGCCATCAATACAAGTTCGCAATTCCCTCTAAAATACCTTTCCCGATTTATTGTTTCATTGAATTTAATACAGCATTCAACATTGAGAATTGTTGGGATTATTATTTTTATGGTTGTTGGTATTATTGCAATTTCAAACGGTTTATGATAATACGCTCGCAGAATTAACGCGCTATTGTATTTTATAATTAAAATTTGCTGAGGGGTTTTATGTTGCTCGGTTGTAACATCAGATATTCATTATGGATTGCTTGTAATAGTATAAAACGAAATTTCATGATAGCTAGCTTGTGAATTGCTACTAATTTTAATCATTTTTTGGTAGAGTTTCAATTATAGCTTACAGCTTTTGAATTTTTATTAATTAATCTCATATTTTGTCACAGGAATTGAAATATTTGAGAAAAATCATTTTTATTGTCAATTAAGATAAAATTAAGCTCATATAAATTTTTAATAAAATCAAAATCGAAAAAAAAAATATATTGTCGAGAAAAGAATTTTAATGATGAAGAATTTAGTCAAATGAAACATTTAGATTTGTTGATTTTTTTGACAAAATAATATCAATATTTGTCGTCATTATGATGAAGCTAATGAAGAGCTTTATTTGAATTTATTGAATGAAAAGTATTATGATCAATTCGGCTGATTTTTTAGACGAAAATGAAAAATATTCTTGGTAATTATTAAATTATTTAAAAAAAGAATTTTTTTATTAAGTTGAGTAGAGAAATTGTTAATCTGAAAATTTTTTTATTCCAGTAAATTTTACTTGATTAAAAAAAAAATCTTTTTATTTTTTAATATCAATTAAATGAGTCATTATGATTGAGAGATTTAATAAAACTCGCATAAGTAATTTGGATAAAAATCCATCATAAACTTTCACTATTTTATCAAATCTATAATATTAAGAGAATAAGTAAAATTTTGTGGTCAGTGTATTTATATGATAAAATGGGTTTTTATGATTAAATTTGGTATCGTTGGAAAAGTCTTAAAGTCGCAATGACGCAAAATTTTTTACTGTGTACATAATTAAGAAATGACCCTGTATCGCGTGAACTATTGACATTTTTGAAGATATAAGCTCATCCCGATGTGACACTCGTCAAGACCTTTCATTTAAGTACCCACATCATTTTTTTCATATATTTATGTATATTATATATATGTATACATGAAAAATATATGAAAATGCATGTGGCTACTCAAATGAAAGCTCTTAATAAGTGTAACATCGGGATGGGCTTATATCTTTAAAAATGTCAATGGTTAAGAAAGTACAGTGCAATTTAACATAATTAAGAAACGACCTTGTATCTTGTGAACTATTGACATTTTTAAAGATATAAGCTCACCCTAACATTACACTCATCGAGACCTTTCAATTGAGTACCCACATCAATTTTTCATATATTTATATATTTTATATATATGTATATATGAAAAATATATGAAAATGCATGTGGGTACTCAAATGAAAGCTTTTGATGAGTGTAACATCGGAATGACCTTATATCTTTAAAAACGTCAATATTTAAGAAAGTACAGCGCAATTTAACAAAAGTTATTCAATAAAGCAAAATTTTATTTATTTATAGTTCACAAGTCACGGCAATTACATAGTGACTGCAAGGTTGCTAGTATTAATATAAACTTCATAATTATGTCAAAATATAATTCATAATAATGTATCATATTATTTTCAATAAAAAAAAAAAAATTCTACTATTTAAAAAAAATTAATTAAAAAAAAAAAAAATTTTTTTAACTAAAAAAAATTCTAGTATCATTAAAAAAAACTCTTGCTACTGAAAGTTCGCTAATCAAAATACCCTTTAAAAAAAAAAAAGGACCCGCGTATTATAAAAAGGAATTTAAAGTTAACAATCCAATTTTCTCTGTAAAAACGTAAGCCATATTTACGTTAATGTTTGCATGTGCATCCACACAACACACAACATACATTCGTGTGCTTCTACACAAAGTAGATTATATAAAAAAAGTCTTTGAAATTGTGGACAATTGCTTTGATAAATCACCGCGAATCCGGTGTAGCGATGAAAAAGTTATTTATTTATCATGGTTATTATTATTTTTATTATTACTCACTTTTTACTCGATTTTCTTATTCTTCTTTATTACACGAGCCAGTGAGTTGAAGTTTGTGTAATCCGTAAGACGATTATTCCGTCGGATTATCTGTTGAGTGAAAAATAAAACCAAATAAACTTTTCTAATTTGCGTGGAAAAATAAGTTATTAATTTTCTTGTTTGATTTTAATTGAATTTTCCCCCTATCTCTCTCTCTCTCTCTCTCCCTTTCTTTTTCCTGGAAGCTTCTTATATTAGCAAAAAAGACCATTAGTCACTGTTTAAACTTTCTGATAATTCAAGTGTTGTATTATATATGTAGGTAAGTTTACACACACATATATTGCTGTCAAACACATCCAAGTTTTTCGCATTTATGTTGGAATTGTAATCTTGTTCTTGGTTCACTTGAAATCGTTTTTCATTTCCCGCTAAATTTTATGTATCGCCTACAGCGATCTTCGATAAGCACATTTCCTTCTCGACAATACACACACATGTACACACACAGTAGCTTTTATAGTTATATAATAAAAAATAGTGAAGAAAGAGAAAAATATTAAAAGAGAGAAAGTTTCTTGTATTGCCCTCTGGCAACTTATTCGCGTTTGTATTTCACACATGCTTCTATATATTCATATTTAAACTGTTTTTGATTTCCGCAAGTCCGTTTTATTTCACACTTTTAATTAAAATTTATTTTTTAATATCAAATTATTTTTTTTTTTTTTTTTGTAATTTTACACAACAAATTTGTATTTAATTATTACACAATTTTTTCAACTATATTTGTCAGTAGATACAATAAATAATTTTATTCTAAAATTATATTAAAAAATTAATAATGTTATTTATTAACCTGCCATTTTAATTAAATATAAATATTTTCATAATTTTCCCATAAATAATCTAAAAAATGATATTTTTAAACTTTGAAATTTAATATCTCATTTTACAAGCAACTTAGCAGAAAACTTCTTATATATTTTTGTAGGAAATTAAACGCTCTACAAAAAAGGTCTCTTACAATTTTTCGATAAATTTAAAGTTAAGCTTAAAGTTTAACTGTCTTAATTCCAACTAAATTCATAAGAAAAAATTAAATTTCAATTGTTAAAGCCACGAAAAATGATAATTAAACCCATGGAGGATATACTTAAACCCGAAAAATACCTCACACAGCACAAAACTTTCGGTAATAAGGTAAAGTACCCAGTACTTGAACACTTCTAAAAATGGGACCAGTAGTTGAACAGACTTTTAGAATTGTTGTAATACAAAATCTGTATATATATTATGAGTAATATGCGCATGTTATAATTATTCAATGATACAGTAATTGATTTTGGTAAGTTTTTTCAATTATAAATCAAAACAATTACATTTTTGTTAACTTTAAAGTTAACATGTCGAGAATAACCGATAGATGCTATTTTTTTCATGAAAAAGGTACTAAACCGTAAACCGAACAATCAGTAAAAAAAACGGTATATCATCATTTTAAGTGAAAAAAATTGTACCACCCAATGAAATAGTCTTTTCTAAATAATACATATTTTTTGCAAAGACATAAACTATAATTTTTATATTAAATTTTAGCGTTCAATTATACCTCCCAATTTTCAAAGCGGTACCCAGAACTTGAACAAGCTGGGACCATATAATTTTAACAGCACTCTAACCTTTAATAGGTTTATAGACTAGTGATCAGTACTGTGATTTGTATTAATTATTGCAAATTAAATAAGTTTTATAACTAAAAATTAGTATAGTTAAAAATTATTGAACGTTTTGAATTGAGTTTTTTTGATTTATAATTGAAAATTTACTTTGTCATTCATAAAAAATGTAATTAAAAAATCAAATACAAATGTTTCTCATTTTTAAATGAACATATTAAATATCCACAGTATTATTTTTAATATTATTCAATAATATGTTATAAATCTTTGAATATTTCAATAAAACGTTAAAAATTTTTAGTGTGCCTATTGCCATATATTTTATTAGTTCAACTACTGCTCCCGGAGTGTTCAACTACTGCGGCTTGTCAGAATTGATTGTTCAACTACTACTCCTTTCATAGTCTATCTTAAAAACGTTGTCAAATTATAAATATTCAATTATTTGCGTTATTTTACACTTCAATCAATTCAAAATTGTTTATATTTTCGTGAAAATCACTAATTTGAACTAATAATTACATCTTTATATATTAAAAGTAGGGTCAAATACGTTTTACTTTAAAACTTGTTCAACTACTGGGTACTTTACCTTAACGATAGTTAAACATGATGGAATGTAAATTGGCCTAAAACAAAGTAGAGTCCAGGAAAACAATAGAATACAATAATCAACCGGCTTAAATAGAACATAAAACTTATCACCGTCGTAGTTTATTTAAAAGCGCTGGTTATAATAATAATATTTATACAGAACTCCAAACAAGTGTTCCAGCAACCCGATTTGTTATACATTTACCGAAAGAATAGAATATACAGAATATATATCACACAGTACTAGTACATAAAGTGGATAGTGGAAGATCTAGGAGACGAATCGAGAACGAGCAGATAAGCATCAGGCTCTAGGATAGCTCGTGCCATCATTCTTTCACGCTCGAGCTGGATTCTTTTGAATATCCGACCCTCTACCGACTTAATAAATTCCTTTTATATTATATCACAAGCTTTGAATTATAAATTAAAATTAATAAATTTTTTATGAAAAATTAATTTCAATTTTAATTCAAAAGCCCTTTCTAACAATAACAACATTTAATTACTTTACAAGTTTACATATTGTGAGTCCTTTCAAACGAGCTGAGGGTAAGAAAGGAAGTACGGTGTGAGCACTCTACATCTATATATATATATATATATATATATATATATATATATATATATATATATATATATATA